TAACTCTGTCCGAGAATATCTGAATATGTCCACATGAACTCAACTCTGTCAGCTTCCAACATGCCATGCCACTGGTGTAAGGTGTAATATTCTACTTGTGTAATCTCTATATAGAAAAAGCATTATAATTAGATCATACATACCTAAATGCCCCTGATGAGATGATCAAAATCCCAACGTGAAAATGAAAAGGGGAAATTATATTGCTTTTTATGTATTTATATTAAAAAACCTGCCATCAAAAAGAAAATGATAGCCGCCAGACCCTTGTTACCGATTAAGGAGAGGAGGTAAAAATATGGTTTATAACTATATAATACGGAGTACTTGATTTTGAATGAATTAAAAGATTAGAGAACCTTATCAACCTATTTTCAGTAAAGATTAAAAAACTATCCTAGGAAAATCTAGTTTCAAAGTCACCTTTACATCGAAATTAACTTCATAATTGAGGATCCACACATAATCCGGAGTGAGAGCTCTGCTCTCTAAATCTTCGGTCCTCCTAGGGTTGGCCGCCGCTAGGTTTGGTTTCCGATATCGGCCGATTGGCTGAGGATCGAGCGAAGCAGTTGAAGAAGATAGGCTGAGTGAGAGCAATCTGGTTCGGCTGAGATTGAGAAAGACGATAGGTGCTACGGACGAGGGGCGGTGAGGTTGAAGAGCCGATTCGGTGTAAACGTAGGCCGTCGAGGGTGGGTGAAGGTTGTGACATGGAGGATTTTGTTGCTTCGTACAGAAAATTATCAATGAAGGACCATGAGAGTGAACTGAATTTCGATGAAGAAACAGAGATGGATGTCGAGGAGGAGCATGAACCGAAGCGGTTCCCGGCGGTGGGGGTGGTTATCTCGGATCATAAAATCAAGCTATCAGGTTTTCAAGAGTTGATGACCTCGATCTGGAGGCCAGTGAAAGGTATGACTATCAAGGAAATCGACGAACATAGGTATTTGTTACTTTTTAATCATGTTTTGGACATGAACCGTGTGATTGAGGAAGGCCCTTGGTTATTTGAGCGAGATTTGATTCTGTTAAAAGCTGTCCAGCCTGATGATATACCCGAATCCTTGAATCTGTTTGGAGCCAGTTTTTGGGTACAAGTACATAATGCCCCTTTAAAATATAGGAATCTGAGGTCTGCTAGGAAAATTGGTAATTTTATAGGCTCTTTTATTAAGTTTGAGATGAGTCACTTTGATGGAAAGCAGAATTCCTATCTAAGAATAAGAGTGAGATTGGATGTTCGTCTACCTCTGAAAAGGGGGACCAATTTGATGCAGGATGAAGTAAAACATTGGGTTGATTTTAAGTATGAAAAACTACCCAGTTTTTGCTTTATCTGTGGTATTATTGGTCATTCTGACAAGTTCTATCCTTTGAAGTATGAAGAAGGTTTTGTAGCTGAAAAAATTTATGGGGTGGAAATTAGAGCAGGCGGGAGGGTGAAGACCAGCCCTACTGGACCTAATAAATGGTTATCTGATGGAGCCTCTAGCTCAGATGGATATGGAAGTCAGCGGAAGTCTGATCTTGGGGGAGAACATACGACTGAGTCGAAGGTTGCAAAGACTCCATTGGACGAGAGCGAGGACGATCCACCTGGGGACCTGAAACGCAGACGTCTATGGGAAGACCAGATCAAAGAGGGAGCGGATGGTGCGGAGATGGCTTTAGATGGATCAAAAAACAGAGAAGGGGCGGGTCAGATCTCTTAGACCCGCCGTGCACTTTCTGGGTGGTAGTGGAGAAGAAAACTGGTTTTGGTGTTTTTTTTTATTTATCTGTTTTGGCTTTGTTTATTTTGGACGCATTGTTTTCTTTACTGTTTGTGCTTTCTTTCATTGTAAGACTCTTGCATTAAGGTGGGGGGAGGAAGAATCTGCGGTAACCGTCATTAGCTCTAAATTGCCCAAATTTGGTCTAGCGAGTTATACTGCTTTTTTACAGGTGGTTAGCTCTCAGTCTCGGCCACGGGCGGATGGTTATTTGTGGTTTTTTTCTAGTTATATACCCTTGTTGAATGCTATTTCTATGAATTTAGCCTTCTTTGACCAAAAAAAAAGTCACCTTTACATCCTAACAAACCAATGAAATAAGACGTGACATAGTATTGTTTATTTTTTTTAAGCAGTAGTTCTCAAACCTTTTCTTGTACATTTTGTGAATAAAATGAAGAGTACTAACCATTAAACCAAGGTCTCATCTTTGAACACATATAGTGAAGCCAGAAATAGAAAACATTAAACCAACCAAGGTAAAAAAAGATTCATTTTCAGACAACAGAGGGATTATTTTTAACATCTTCATAGTATTAATAGGCAGATTATTTTAACATACAAAAATAATTAATACTCTGCATAATTATTTATATGTTCTCAAATCAAATTCATGTTTAGATGTCTGGCATAAAAAGTCATAATTAATAGCAAATGAGGAAAAATTCAATTTTACGATTGGGTCTGAATTTGGATAAGGTGAAGGACCACAAAACTCAAATCGAAATGAGAGGTCCTCAATACTTGATTCATACCCTCTCTTTTGCATAGAATGATAGTAGGGGAATCAAAACGAGAGGTCCACAAATCGAAATGAGTACAATATCATTCAACTTGGTTTTAACCTTTTCTAAAAATGCGGCTGGGTATGGGGATTTAGAAAATAGTAGGAAGCCTTAAAAAAAGAACACAGAGAGAACGAAACGGGCATTACCTGAAAGACTAATCTAGATATGTTTGCAGTGAATGGCGAAAAGGAATGAATGTAATCAGACTTGAATGGTCAAGGCAAATTGAAAAGGCAGATAAGGATGAAAGAGAGGTACTGTCACAAGAACTTACTTATAGTGGACAAATGGAGGTAATAAGTTGCCCGATTGCTTTTATCGATGGATATCATTTATCGATCTTAAAGAAAGAGTATGACAGAAATATGGGGAAATGAGTATAAGCCATATAGAAATATTAAGAAGCCTCTATGCACCAACAAATAAAGCCCATTGCTTTGTAACAACCTAATGAAGTGAACTGTGAAAGCCACATACAGATAGCAGCAACAACATGAGACGATTCTTTTCAATATGAACACCCCAACATCTGTCAAGTTATCATAAAAAGTCTGCAGTTCCTTCAAATTGACAAGCCCTGATTACGCGAGACATAACAAAAACCAAAAGAACAAAAAATGCATCAGCAAGTATTTGACCATTCTTGTTGAGGACTCATTTAATAGAATCATGTTATCCAAGTTTCTTTAGAATCTACAAGAAAGAAAGCTCTTTAGTGCATAATAGATGACAAATTTACTTTTTTTAATATCAAGGGGTGTGATTACTTACTCATAACTCATAACTGATGAAGTCCCAGAAGATCATTACAGTTAAATTATTCTCCACAACTATACTAAGTCAATTATACATTTAATATCCATGTTTTCGACTTCTCTGTGTATGTGTGTAGAATTTGCCATTATTAAAAACTTGATAATTACTACACATTAAGTCAAACTTGTTTTAAGAATATAGTTCAAAGTATAATCTAAACCCCTAAAATGCAGGCCACTGAGAGAAAAAAGGCATATATGACTTGTATTCTTATGAAGTTATGAGTTAACTTAACATTAAAAGTCACCCAAGTATTCATGAAGGTTGCCCAAAGGATTTAAGTTAATGGAACTTTCATATCAAAAGAGGAAGTCAACAAGCAAATTAAATCAATTACTGTAATTAACAAAATGTGGAGAACACAAAAAGCATTTTAGATAATCTTACTTTCAAAGCAGCCTCAATAGCATTTTGGCATCTTTCACTTCGATCTGGAAACAAACACAAAAGTTTGAAATGACCATAAGGAGTGAATGAGTTTGGATTCTTTCCGGATAGCCAAGTAGACCTTAGCTGCAAATCAAATGATAATGATAATAAGGTTACCTGAGAAAGACTTCCAAAGCAGATTTGATTGGGGGCCCTAAAATGAGATAATCCGACATGCTTTCAACGACACTATCATATTAAAATGTTAAATGCCATTGTGTTAAGAAATTTACAATCACTAATTTTCAATTCAAAAATGAAATCACACCATCCATTCACCTATAACATATTCAAAAGTAAACAAATCGTCCAACAGATTATTAAATACTGAAATTAAAAATAGTAAAATTTACAAAACTTACCCGCTAGCCTGCTGGAGGGAGATCGAGGCAGCCTATCGGAAGAGGAGAGTGAGCGTTTCAGAGAGATATAGATTGTTATATTGGCTGTTGCAGGACAGGGAAGGGATGCGAATATGCGATGAGCCGTCTGCCTTTATGCAAGCCAGTGACGTCCGCAACGGTTAATAACGATGGAACAGGGGACAATGGGTTGGGCATGTGAGGCAACGGATGACAGCCGACGTTTGGTTGGGGAGATGTACAGACCGGAAAACGCACAAATAGTTAAGCACATAGTACATGTGAAGTAAGCTATGCTATACCACCAACAAATTTTTTATACCTAAAAGAGGCTTACCTTCATTCATGCTTATTATTTTGTAAAGATATTTGACTTTTCCAAATGATAAATTTTGATCTATTATTTTAACTAATATATTTATGTGAAACTTAATAAATTTATACTTTTATGAGCACGAAGTTTTAACAAAAAACATTTTCATATCATTTTCATATTATCATTACTACCGTATATAAATATATAATCGATCAAAGTTCAACAACATTGACATAGTGTTTGGTTTAATATAAAGCGATGGAGGGAGTAAAGAAATTGACTATAGCCAAAATTTTGATAATATCCTATATATGAATAACTCACAATGTTTATCAGTATTTGTCACTTCACTCATATCAAATTAACACTACCGGGGCATGTCCCGAGTGTTACACTAGTTAGTCCTATTTTGGAATCAAAATCATGAAAATTCTATTTTGGAATTTTCAAATATTTTTAGTCCTATTTCGGATAATATCTCTTTGCTAAAAGATTTTAAAGATTTTTGCCCGCAAAATAAGTTTAAGGGCATGAACCCCCCTTGGTGACAACTTTAGGTCCGCAGTTTCCGGTTTCTATAGCTCCGACGCTTTGCATCCCATTCCGCTTGGAAATTCACCAGCGTAGCTTTTTCTGTTCTACGTATAAACTTATCTGTGCTTTTTTGCCCCTTTTCACCAGTGTTTTTGCCCCTTTTCCCAAAAAATAACGCCAACGTTTTGTTTGTCGGTCGAAGATCATTCCCAGCTTGGATATGGCGACGGATAAAGCTCCCGAAGGACAAAGGAAACGGGCTTTAGAGGCGTTAGAACGGAGGTTTGCTCAAGCGGAAGCCGACGGTCGCCGTCAACAGGATCTCCAGACCAAGAAGCGAAGAACTAATACCAGCACCACTCCTCATGTAAATCAATCTCCTTCTAAGATTGATGATGAACCACTTTCCTCCCATCCGTTGATTTCGAATGCAACACCTAAGAAAGGTTAGATTTTACGACTTAATAAAAGCTCCATCTCGTTTTACCCTGTCAGTTTTGCTGGTTCTCTTCACATGCCAGTATGCCAGTTTGAAATTATGTTCCTTGAAATTTCATGGTTGATGCGTGCGCTTATGGATGTATGGAAAAACTGCGTAAACCCACTTCTTGAAGGAGGTTCTCACAAGTCACAACATGTTCAGTTAGATGAGTTATTCTAAAGCACTACTTCCGCCCGGGCTTAAGATTCGTATTGAAAAATGACACAGTTAATTAGATAATATTTAAATTAGGTAATTCGAGCATATTTTCAGAAGTAATCCTGATGGCTACATAGCATAATAAGATACGGAGTAATTAAGTTAATGATAATTACTGTGATGTTATAGGTGTATAATTTTCAATATTTGATGATTAGTTTGTCATTTAGGAGTGTTGATTATTTCCTAAAAAGAAATGGGAAGCTTTAGTTGGGACGTCTTAAAAAGGAGAGTGAGAAACTTAAGCTTGGACGGTGGAAGTATGTGTCATTGTGTTCCTCAGGGTATTATCAAGCAGAGCTAGTGTAGAATTTTTTTTCATTCACTGGACTAAAGCCTAAAGGAGACCCCCCCACCCCCAATTTGTGTGTGTGTAAATACTTATAACCTATAGATGATGTTGGAATGTGAAGCTTAAGCCATCAAACGTCCAATACTAAGTTTCTGGCTGAGCCGTTGTTAAATCATCCAGACAGCAGTGCTTCCATAAGTTCCGTTTTCTTCACTAAGCATGTTCTTCGTAGTCGAGTTTTGAAGTAGCAGTGTTATGACAACTGTATTGCGTATGCTTTTAAGGTAGCAGTTTCAGTTATTAACTTATTAATTAATCTTCTTATGAGAAAATGAAAACTGGTTTGACTTTTCTATAATTTATGGGTATAAACCTGTACAATTTTGGGCTTTCTGTGCATATGGTTTTTGTTAACACCGTTATTGTTTTCAGGCAAGGTTTCATTTTCAGGTCATTCCTCATCACAAGGTACAATTCTGATTCAAACTTTTTTACGTTTCATTTTGAGATTACTAATGAAAGTATTTTTTCTGCTTGGTGATAATTTGTGTACACTGAGATTCTCTTGCAATAATGCAACAGATGTAGAACTACAGCACCCGGCATACCTTCAACTCTCTCATGCTGTTGATGGGAATCTTCTGTCAACTGTCGGAGAGGTAATAATCCTCATTATTTGGATTAAACTACTAGTCATGAACCTAAAGATGTCTTAATTAGAGTTTAGAGAATTTATTTTATGTTTTTTCATGTGCAAGGTTGCTAATGGTAGAAGTACTGTTGATTATGTACTGCATGAGCTTCTTCAACATGGTGATTCAGCACAGAAGTATTTGCAGGGTTCCAAAAGTGTTAAAGTAGACAACTATATTCTTCTAGATAATGTTGTCCAAAAAAGTAGCATGTCTAACAATGCTTCCTTACGGGCTTTAAAGAAGCTGTCAAAACGGTCCAAAAGCCGCATGTCACTAAAGCAACATAAAAAATGTAAATCATTCGATTTGCCTCCAGAGTTTCATAAGTAAGTTAACTACTTTCTTGCTGAAGGTTTATGTGTTCCATTTGCAACCAGTAAAATGCCAAGGAAATAAAATGGGGAAGAAAGTAGAGGAAAATTTTGGAGAGCTGGAAGGAGAAAAAGTATGTGGGATATGTAAACTTGATTCAGACCAATATACCAATTACGGGTCTTTTTTCTGAATTCATTTTATTGATATATTTGCACTATACAAAGACTGCGTACATCCGACCCCTCCTTACCCCACCGAAGGTGGGAGCCTTTGCGGCACTGGGGTAATGATGATGATTTCCACTATGCAAAGACTAAGAAATCTTGTTAAATTCTAAAAAGGTTTAATCGGTTTTGAGTTTTCATCGTAATTTACAATGTAAAGCCAAACATAAAAAAAAAAATCATTACACTTATTTGCCTTCCCTACAATTTTCCGTGTTCCAAACATAGGCTTAAGGTTCATGTGATCGAATCCTAGACAACTTTGTGCTTGAGAATCGTATTACAGCGAACAAAATACTATCGTATCATATTTATGTTCTATATATACATAAATCTGGTTGTGCTCCTTCACTTTTCCTGAATGCCTTTGGTTACTTCCTAGGTATGAGATCTACAAGCAAATGCATGAAATGTGGAAGTGCTACATAAATAAACTTATAAAATGTGCAGGGTAACTGTTTTGTACTATATTTTTCTCTGAAGTGCTGCTCTTTGCCAATTAGTGCTTGTTAATTCCATTGTTACTGACTTACTGAATCCTCCAACCTTGTGCTAATTTGACCGAATGGATTCACCTTGCAGGACAAATCAATTGGCACAATATCTCCTAAATGCAGACTTGCATGGCGCACTTATTCTAGGTTGATTGTTTTTCTTTTGTTTACAACAAACTTAAAAGAATACCGCGAAGAAAACGAATCATGGTACACATTGCTAAAATGTCCTATTACCGATGGGATAAATTGTTGTATATAGAAAGCATAATCATAACAGTAACTTATTAAGTAAAATGCCCTAACCTAGAATAATAACACATTCTTGGTTGATTTATACACTAATTACTAATTACAGATTTATATACTATTGCCTATATTCACATATAGGCGCACTTTAAAGAGAATTTTACAAAAATATTACTAAAATAAAACTTCTTTACACAAATATGTCTAATAGCTACAACAATGTAGTGTCATGGTAACTTAAGTATAAAAATTAAACATAAGTTACTATGATTCCATTACTACTCTAGTCACTAGTCACATTTTTGTAAGCAACCTTTGTTTTAGTCATAAATATGTAATTATTTCCACTTACTTTAAATGCCCAGAAACAATAATAAGCATTTTAAACCAGAAACGCAAAAGCTACCAGACTTCTTGACGTCTTGTGACAACTAGTTTTTTGTTAAATAAATGGTAAATTTTACAAATAGAGCCATGATGTACAATGCATAATCTGTTAATTACAACATTATATTAGTACTGTAAGCCATCAACTTGCTAATGTTTCATGTAGTAACATTATGCTGTTTTTTATATTGTGCACCATGTCTGTTGCTAATTATAAAATTTCTTTCAGTTGCTGCTTGCAAGCTAGATGGGTATACTGGACTGCGTGGTATCATGATCCGTGAAACTGTAGAAACATTTGGAATAATTACAGAAGACAATATATTCAAAGGTTTCTCTCCCAGTTTTAGCATGCAAAACTATTTTCTGATGGTTCTCTTTGCATTTTTTTAAAATGCTGCTGTGTTATTCTTATCAATTTATCTGTCCTCATAAATATATGGCAATGTGTGATGAATTGCAGTCGTGCCCAAGAAACTCTCTGTTTTTATGCTACAAGTGGATTCCTGGAAGGTTACCATACTTGGCGACAAACTCGCTTCAAGAAACATGATGCAATGATTTTATTATTAAAACCTGTCAGCATTTACATGCAAAACAGAGATCTGGAAAAGCTAAACTTGGTAAGAGCTATTCAGTTTATATGTAAGATAAAGCAGAGCCCATTTGGTAAGAGGTATTCAGTTTATATGTAATACACGTGTTTTATTTTGCTGAATTTTCTGAAAATAAGGAGTCGTCTCTAAAATCCATTATGTTCATGAGTAGAATTATCGGAATAAATGACTTTTGCTACCAAACAGTTGGGGTAGATGCAATCCCGGATCTGGAACCGGACGTGGACTGGTAAATTATTTTGCCCAAAAGTGGTATGTTTATATGGTTGTAACCTGGAACTAGTAGTAGGAACCGATCCAAACACGGTTCCTTCAAAATTTGACTGTACCGGTGCTGGTACTGTTTTTTATTTCCTGAGAAGGATAAGGCACCAAACTGGAATTGGATCAGATACATCTGGTTATGGTTCCACCCTTTCCATGACCCGGAACTGGACTGAGATTTACCCCTACCGAACAGGCTCCATGTTTCAACTAAAAATGAGCAAAAGGGTCATGATGTATATGTATATATAGACTGATTTACGATCAAATGAGAACAATGTTTAACGTGAGAACAGTGTGAACAATACTATTAACTCAATGTGATGTACTATGAAGTTCGTATGTTGCACTTTTTCACATTGGCAGAATATTTATGAAACTGACACCACGTTTTTTTGATATTGGCATGTTTTGATCAAAGTGAAAAATGTGAAACGCAAGAACTTCATAGTGCGTTAGATTGGGCTAAAGGTTATACAAAACCAAAAAGCATGGCAATATAGCTCTTGAATCCAAAATCATTAGCTTCTCAGAACCATCCATATACTCCACAGAATCAAAACTTTCAATTTCTTCTTCCGTGCTTACTCTAATATTTCTATTATTGCAGCAAAGAGCAACGCGGCCCGCAATAACTCTGCACACCACAATGGCCACCCTGGTGTTTTCACGGCTGCATTTCTCAACTCTTCTATGCGCTCTCCAACTAGTCTTAGAAAGCGTTATCGACAACCTCTCCATTGTCGCTACATCATCACTTGTATAATTACGGCCTGTGATGATTCTACAAACCCCACAGCTCCTCCTCTTACAGGTCTTCGAGAATTGATCTAACCCTAATGAGCAAGTAATGGCAGCCCCTCTGAATCTCAAAACCTCATGCCCATCGCCTCCCACTCCACTCTCCGTTCTCTTTGACTTCACCATCGTTCTATACTCTTCAAACCTCTTGTAAACTTCTTCACTTGGATTCACTCTAAAAACCTTTTGGATTTTGTACCCAACACCATTCTTCCACCCTGCCCGAAAAACTGCCTCCACAACGCTCAATGTGGGATCTCCTCCGGTGAGCTCTTCTAATAGTTGAATTTCTTTCTTCCTTGGAAAAGAAAGAACCCTTTTAGTATGTGAATCTAAACTCTCTTGGGGTTTAGGGTTCTGATTGTTCTTTGGAGGAGGAGGCTTGTGCATTTCTCTTTTAGGAGAAACGACACTTGGCTTTGGCTTTGGTTTGAAACATCTAATGGTTGAACTCGGGTGACAAACTAGCAGTGCTAAAGAAGTCATGATTAGACATTTTTCCGACATTGCTACTCCCTCTACATTTGGATCGAAGGCTAGTTATGACGAATGTGTATGTGCAACAATAATAATATATACATGTGGATAAAGTGTGATCAGGATCTAATGTAATCAAAGGTAATATATGTATTCATTAATGCAAAAATTAGAGATTTCAAATTTTAAAAAAGTATAAAAATAATTTGTGATACTACATGGTACATATTCCAGATACTCCCCGCATTTATCCTATCAAAAACCAAGTGTCATATCATATCATGTACTCGTATCTGCAAATATATATACACAAGATTTGGTTGCATTTCCATATGATTAATATGCAGGGAAATCAAGACGTAATCATATCTATTAATAAATCATTAATGCCAAAAATTAGTGATTTCAAAATTTGGAAAAAGATCCGTTTTAAATTTTGCATGCACTCGTAGCACTCCATCTTAGTGTTGGACTCGGGTCAGGTCCGGGTTGGGCCTAGGCCCGGCCGGGCTTTTGATGTTTGGGGTGAAGGCCCGGGACCGGCCCGGGTTACCACCGGGTCCGGGACAGGCCGGGTCCATGTTAATTTTTTTTCTTTTCTAATTAACCCCTGACCCCCCCCCCACCCCCCCCAAACCCCCCAAAACACCCAGCCCAACTCAAGAAAAAGTCCAAAAAAATGAAAAAACAAAAAAAAAAAACGAACCGGGCCCGGGACCGGCCGAGCCGGTTCCAAAGAGTGGGCTGAACCGGGACTGCCCCACCCTAACCCCCGGGACAGGGCCTAGGCCCGGAACCATACCCAGTTCAGCGGGCCGGGCCCACACAGTAGCGAGCCGGGCCGGTTCCCGGGCCGGGCGGCCTGACCCGAGTCCAAGACTACTCCATCTCGTTCATATTTAATAATTTGGGGCTCTCAATTTGTGTATCAAATTCAAATTTTATTTTTCCCATTCAATAAAACTTCAAATGTATTTCCTATATATCTAAATTTTATATACTAATGATGATTTAAATTTCATCAAGAAAGTATTAAATTTATCGTAAATAGCAACGGGCAATATCACCTAAGGCGATCTTGATTCAACCAAACAATCATGGATTCATGAGTTCTCTAGCACTCACCCTAAACACCTTAGAGAAGTAAATTGGGGTTGCTCGAATAATTTAATAGGTTTTTATGGTCATCTATATACTATCTTGAGATAATATAAAACATTGATTGCGTGAGCACTTGTCCTATCCCCGGGCGCTAGAGGATCATATTTGAGAAAAGGTTCTCAAATTTACCTCCTTGATGATTTGAATTAAGATATGATAGGTGGTCCATTTAGACCACTCTCACTTGTCTATGAGTCCGTTTGGTAACACGAAAATCGGCTGATTCTGCTGAAATTTATGAAGTTCTGGCTGGAGTGGTTGCATTGGCTGATTATGCTGATTCAAGAAAAAAATATTTTTAAAATATATTTTATTAATAAAATAAAGAAAAAATTATATGTAAAAATAGCTAAAATGATCATCTACGGTATGTTCAGCCAATACAACCAGAAAAGTAAATCTAACCTTACCTTTTCTTGCATTTCTTTTACTCACGTGAGGCGATCAGCGAACAAGGCTGCTCATGAGCTTGCAAGAGTGGCCTGTTCTTTAGCTGATTTGCATACTTGGTTTGATGTTCCTTCTGTTTTTCTTAATTGTATTTTGAACAATGATCTGATTGATATTAATTAAGTTTCTTTTCTTAAAAAAAACCTTACTTTTTCTTATTATTACACAATTCAGTGCGGGAAAAAAAATTACGCGTTTGGTGAAAAAGTTGGCTGATAAGCCGAAAAACAGTCTTACCAAACGGCCTGCTTTTCTCCTTTAGTTCACTTTGCAGCCCGAATTGCTGCTTCTCTAAAAAATCATGTATGTTTAATTCTTTTGTTATGTTTGTTGAATTTGACGAATTAAAGTAATATCGTGCTAATTCTGCTGGGTGCGAACATGATAGAGAAGAAGGGGTGAGACTCTTCACTTGCGAAGTTGTAGAGGATCGTAAAATTGCAGGAGGAAAACGTAGAAAGTTCAGAAGGGGAGAACCACAATTATTAGCCTTAGAATCGAACAAAACGCATAATGTGCTGGCTGTATCCATTCAAAAAAATGATGCTGGCTGAATCACAAATAACGTACAACCGCTGTATATGATATAAGAGGGGCTCTTCTCATCAGGCCGGCCTGACGGGCTGTCCCGTCCAGCCGAGCCCGTTTGGGCACCTTCCCGGTGGAATTTTTTGATGAAATTTTTTGAGCATGTTCCTCATCAAGTCTAGTTTGTCCATACCAAATTTCAGCTCAAAATTCGATCGGTAAGGTCGTCAAATGATTTTTGCAAGTTAACTGGTCCGGAAAATACATATTCCGGACCAGTTAACTTGGAAAAATCATTTGACGACCTTCCCGATCGAATTTTGAGCTGAAATTTGGTATGAACAAACTAGACTTGATGAGGAACAAGCTCAAAAAATTTCATCAAAAAATTCCACCGGGAAGGTGCCCAAACGGGCTCGGCCGGACGGGGCAGCCCGTCAGGCCGGCCTGACATGAAGTTTTCTCTATGATATAATATGATATAATTTGAAGTATAAGGCTGGTTGCAAATTGCAAGGGTTTAATGCACCAAACACCCCTCGTGAAATATAAATTCGGAGCATTAGTCTTTCTTGATTTAAAAAATTCGTGAAACTCCTGAATGTTTTAACTATTCATGCGCAAAGCCCTCTCCCAGAACAAATTTTAGAATTTTCAAAATCACTTTTAATATGTAAGTAACTTTTTTAAAGTTTCCAAATTATACAAAAAAAAATAATCATTTTTTATTTATTTGGCAATTAAATTTGTTCATAAAAGGGGTTTTGCGTATGAAAAACTATAAGACGAGGAGTTTGACACATTTTTTAACTCACATGGGGCTAATGCGCCGAATTTATATTTCACGAGAAGGTTTGGTGCATTAAACCACAAATTGCAAGGTGAAAATGGAAATTTATTTTTTCCTTCTTCTCCATGTGTGTAGGTGAATATTGTGAAAGTTTTATTTCATTCCGAAAGTGTTTTTGAGATCTATTTTCTTTTCCATCATTCTGCCGGATTAATGTGTGAGTAGCGTCGGGCGCATGTGATTCCACCTTTTTGGGTTGACGTGTAGAGGAATGTGTTGAAGGTAGGGCTGGGCAAACGGGTCTTGGAACCGCGGTCCGGTCCGGGTAATGGCGGTTCGGGTCCAAAACGGGCCGGTTCCATTTTTTGTTCCCATAAAACGGTCCGGGTAGGTCCGGGTAATTTTTTTTAAGGACCCGGGCCGGTTCCAAAATAAAAACATACCGGGTACCCGGCCCGGCCCGTTATATATTGTATATTAATTTATTAATAGTTTTGTGATAATCGTTTTTGAAATAGTTTTGTTTTCCTTTACTAGAAGTAGGATTTCAAATTGAGTTATAGTAACATCATTTTACTTTCAAATTATTGATTAAATTTTACATAAATTTCTTATTACTTTTTATTGTTATTGAATTATTCCTTTCTATGGAATTTAATTGTTTGTTAAAAATGATTTTGTTATATTTGTTTTTATAATATTGTTCTTAAAATATATAAATTGTGATTACAACCCCCGTGTGTGTGTCAACTTTGGCTAATACTGAAAATTTAATAATAAAAAAACAAAATCACCTTAATATGTGATGTTAGACAACATTTTTAAATTCAAATGTTAGAAAATATGTAGTTTGGCTATGTTGCTGATTTTTGGGACTTCTTTAATTGTTTGGAACTTATATACATGAAATTATGGAGTATTGGACTTGTCACTTGTGTTACATGTGCACCACTATGTTGTTATTTTGAAACTTGCTAATGTACTACATTATTGATTATTGATTTTTGGAACTTTGTGAGTTTTTACTAATTTTAAGACATGAGAATAGAAACCGTAAAACCCGGACCGGACCGACCCGTTTCAAACGGGCCGGGTAAGGTCCGGTTCCTATTTTGGAAATTGCAAAACCCGGACCGGACCGGACCGTACAACGGAACCGGCGGTTCCATTTTATTTTGCATTACCCGCCCCGACCCGGCCCGTGCCCAGCCCTAGTTGAAGGCAATAGGGTTGGGGAACTAATCCCCCTCTCACCGCCTTGAAAAGAAAAGGCAATAGGCTGCCTAGCAATGCTGGAGAAAAAAAAAGGGAGAAAAGCGGTAAACAATCTTTTTTTAAGTGTTATCTTACTTGTTGCCCAATTTTTATAAAAAAAACATACGGAGTATCAAAATACTTCAACTTTTTACTACGTATGATTTTAATACCACTAATATTGCATATATATAACTTAAAGAAATTAGAAAATTCGATTTCTCGAGTTTTTATGTCATAGTACTTCTTGAGTAGATCAAGTGTGAAATTAAGATCTTATGATAAAAATATCTTTTTTAAAATCTTTCTATTATTTTTTAAAAGGTCTACAATAAAAACTAATAGAGTATTTAATTCTAGAGAGAAGTGAAAGCTAGAAAGAGAGAAAGTGAGCAATTAATATTTCTAAATCCTTTATAACTACCCCTCGGGGGGGCTATTTATAGGAGTAAATGTGGAATTGGACTCCTAGTCTTGGGCTTATGAGGCCCATTACAATAATCATACCTCTTCTGGACGAAATAAGGCCACTAATGGGCTGAGTACAATACTTAGTGTTTTTAAACGTGAAAGTACATTTTGCCAGGGTAGTCCCTGGCCGATCCGGTGCCTTTGGCCGATGCAGTCCCCTGGCCGATGCGATCCCCGACCGACGGGGGACTCACTTTGTCTCCAGAAAGTACTTTGGGCAGTTCTGTCTCTGGCCGCTGCGGTACCCACCTGGCCGAAGGCTGCCACATGGATGTCCATCTGGTGTCTTTGACATTCTGAGTATGTGGGCCATGGGGTCTGAGCACATATACTCTATCAAAAACAATAAAGTTAAACATCAAATTTATTTACTTTTACACCGGAATGTTTGAGTTTTTAAATCATAATTATTTGTAAAGAAGTATTGGCAAAAAATTATGCATAATAACACAAGGATTTAATTAATTAAAAAAAATTGTGCTTGGTGAATACTTTGACGGTGTTCTATTGCAGGAAAAAAAGGTGAATTGAGAGAGTGACTACACAATTTTTATATAAGTTGGTTGGGAATTAGGATTATTGACGGAGGAT